AATTTTATTTTATTAATAAAATTTTAATTGGTTTTTCAATTTAAATGTTATGGAAAAGGAAAGACGGAAATTTAAAAATATAATATATATTCTTGGAATTTAGTTACTGATTTAAATTATTTACACATATTTGTCTAACCATTTATGAGACCTCACTCTGCTAAGCCTTTGGCTATTGCATACAGCAGTTACTTGTGCAGCTTGACATTACTTAGTTCACTTTATTTGATTTGATTTATTTAATTTACTATTTATTTTAGTTGCTCTAATTTGAGTTCTGTTTTAGTTTTGTTTGCTTGAACAATTTCTGTTTATATTTACAGCTAGAGTTTTTGTGATCTGCTTGGGTTTTCATCAGCTCATCTCGAACAGCATTGGAATTTCCTAAATGGGCTCGCTTTACAATATCTTAAGTCGAGAACTTATCCATGACTAGTTGACTATGATATTTGGGTGCTGGCTTAGACTATTAGTTATAATTTATATTAAAGTTGCTTTTAGAAGATTTCAAATATGTTTAAGTCGAAGTGAGGTGCATTTTATACAATTGAAATATGATAAAATTTGATATGCTCTAAATGCAGTTCAATCTTAGGAAAGGGAGGGATAACACAATATATATAAATATTTATAATTGAGTTGAGTTAAAATCATAGTCAAATCGATTAGAATTTTAATTAAAAAAATATATTTTACAGAGTTTTTGCTGATATTCCCCTTCTCTAATTCAACATCAACTGATGGACTAATCTTTACACTAAATGAAAATTATATTTTCATTATTATTATTTATGTAGATTTTTAATTTAATTTAACATTTCATTTCAGTTATTTTTCATATTTTTTTCGTGTTTTTTTTTCTGACTTACATTTAACACTTAATATTTACAAAATGTTTAAGTTTTACTTAAATGCTTAGGTTGAGTAGTTTTTACGTCTCGTGTAAATAGTTTTTAGTTACAAGAGAAGTGTTTGAGTATTTCATGTGTTTTCATATTATTTTTCTAATTTTGAAAGATTTTCGATTAGTTTTTTGTTTTTTTGTTTATTCCATACACATTGATTGAATGAAAGTTTTCTTTTTTATATTTAGCGCAATTTACGCAGTTTTTTTCTATGAAATTTGGCATAGGATATGTTTAATTTTTGCTTATTTTTTTTTCTTTAATTTTTTTCCACTTGACTTTTGTTGGCTTGCGCATGATATCAAGTTGTTGCACTTAAGCAAGATGGAAGTGGCCAGCTATGCGAGTGTCTACTGTGCCTAGTTAACTTCCTGCACACTCGGGTGGCCAGCTCCAAGATCCAACGACGCCGAAGAGCAGCAGCACCGCTGGCAGCAGCGAGATGAGATGCGAGGGGTGTCTCGAGGCAGCGGCACCTGCAAAAAACAAATACCGTTAGACTTCTAGATGCACTGAATATCTCTGTCTGCCTCTTCTCTCCCGTTTTACCAATTGTACTCGACTTGGCTGCCACGGTCTCGCGTGACTCGAGGGCCGGTGCTCGCTGCTGGCGATCGCTCTCGACGCTCTCCTCGTTGCTCTGCCAGTAGAGCGAGCTGATCTTGGCCACGCACTGCAGTGGGAATCAAATTATCGAATTAGACAAGATCTATCCAATTATTATCCATTGACCTACCTTAAGCTTCATATCGCCATTCTTGAAGTGAAATGCACGCACTCGAAACTCCAAGCCCAGGCGCGCCATCTCCAGGCCATCTCGATTCATCACAATCTTGTCGTACTGCTTCAGATGCTGCTTCTGCGCCGGCTCCCCATTGATTAGCCAGCTCAGGTGGCAAACGGGCTTCGACGGTGCCGAGGTGCAATTGACGCGCACAATGTCGCCGATTTGGTAGCGCGGCTGCCCTCCCGATATCTTTGGCCCATGATTCGGGGTTACTGAAAGAGACAGAGAGAGAGAAAGAGAGGGTGTGAGTGAACAAGTTTGCTTAACTTTTTCCAACAAGAGGTCAGGCAATGGCATAATATATATATTGTAATTGAATTAAGGACAAATGCTGGAAATGGAGGCGAGTGGGAGTCACACACGCTTGCATAATTAAGTCAGGGCCTGAGTGGCTCCTCACATCGAAGAGCCATCAACTAGGACATCAAAAAGCCTTTAACTGTAATTACATACATTTGTAAGTATGCCGCATGCTTTGCCATTGTCATTGTACAGTGGGGCAAATTCAGGCATGGCAGTCGAAAAAGCGTTGAAGTGTGAAATGAGTGGAACATAAGAGATATGGAATAAAATAATTTATTGATGAGCTGAGCGAGTCACCGCGAATCATTTTGTAAAAGTTTTATATAGAAGAGAATATAGATTGATATATAATAGAAAAACACACAGACATGAGAAGAGAGTATTTGAAGAGTCTGTAATATTTTGCATTTTTATTTACGTATATGACGCAAAGATGAGTGGAGCGATACGAAAAGCTGGAATATTGTTAGAGAGAAAGGAATATAGAATAGAAGTGAGAAGAAAATATCTGAAGAGTCGAACATAGTAACAGTGTTAGTCTGTAAAACGTTTACGAATGGAGAAGTGCACAACTGAAATTTTAGCAAAATGTGTTTCATTTACGAATATGACAAAAAGAGAACCAAAAAACTCGAATGATCGGTATGCAAAGTGCTTGACCACAGTGAACAGAAGATGAGCGTAATAAAAAGGCAACAGCAAAAGTTCTTTCATTTACGAATATCACACAAAATGGAAATGAAAATACTTCAAGGAATAAGAATTATGATTAAGGCCGAAACATAAAGAGCATAGCTATAGTAATATAATTAGTACGCTAAAAGCAAAGCAAAGTTTTTCTCCAATTCGATTGGGGGCGTAATGCTGACCTACTTACTCTATGGAACTTTTTCAAGTTAACCCTGTCTATAGGAAATGCTCTATAATTAGTTTGTTTTATATTCTCTTATGTTATTTGCCCCATTGTGGTGGCGTGGCACGTGTGCGCTTAGCTCAGGTTCTTTTAGTAGCAATGTTTGCTCGTGATTGAGAGTGAAACAGAGAGAAAGATATTTCTACAAAACAAAACCGAATGAGAGTGAGAGAGGGAGAGGGAGTGTGTGCGGAGGTAAGTGAGAGTATGTGCTCTAAGCGCAGTTATTTAATTTTAATGAGCCAGGGAAATTGAAATATTTTGTTGCCCTGCACTAGCCGCTGCCGGGGCAGCTGGGCAGGAGTACTTCAATAGAGTTGGCCAGCTGGCCAGTTGGCCGGTTGGCAGTTGGCAGTTGGCGAGTTCCTTTTGCGCATTTTGCTTTATTGCTTTACATGCAGCTTCGCCTATTTGGTTCACTTTGGTGCCCCTTGCGTGGCCATAATGAAAGCCATGTGGATGCTGGGCAGGGGCGAATGGGGAATAAGGATTGGGGCATACTTAAGATTTATGTTGAGATTTGTGCCAGTAAAATACAAAACATGGCGCACAGACCTACACAGAGAGTATGGGAGTGTGTGTGAGTGTGTGTGGGAGAGAAGGAGAGAGAGAGTGTGTGTGTTAGCGGAAGACAGAGAAGAGTCCATTTTATATACGCATACGAAATGCTTATTCAAAGTTTATTTTAGCGTGTATGTGGAGGCGTGTTTTTTTCCTGTTGTTGTTAAGCCAGCTGGCTATGGCTACGGCTACAGCTATGGCTATGGCTATGGCTGTGGCTGTGGCTGCGACTCTGACTATGGCCATGGCAAGGACTAACGCCCACAACCACTCGGCCACACTCGCGCGCTCATTGCTTAGCGCTTTTGGGCATATACGGGCGCAAGACCAAAAAAAAAAAAAA